ATCCAGATTGCTTTCGTCCACTCGTAAATTTGTCTTGTCGTATTGATTTACTAAAATTGTGTCAACCTCATCTAATTAGCTTCGCTAACAAAAGTTGCCGAAACATGCGGGATTCTAATATATTTCCTACGGTGGCGGCTACTCGTTTCGAGCAGGCGATTCATATGAAAACGATTTCAATCGCCATTTATGATATGATGGATAAGAAAATACATGAAATTTGTACAAAAATTATTCAATAATTACTTTAATTTGAATGATTTAGGTTTTAGAGATTTAGGGTTAGGGTTTAGGTTTACAATTTGGAGGTTTTAGTTGCGATTCAGAATTGAGGGTTAAGGCGTTAGGGTAATGGATTGATTAGTTATAAATTATAATTATATGTTATATCATCATACAAGACTAATGCTACCAATTAAAATTTAAAATTCGGTGTATTATGGTCACTTTTAGAGTTGAGTACATTGAATGCACTAAAAAGGTGAGTGCACCGAAGTAGCCACCATCGCCATATATATATGGTGCCTTCTATGGTACCCCGGGTGAAATCCGGGGTACCACATACCTTGAGTATGGAAACAATATCTAGACCTCGAATTAGCAGGATTTTTGGGTATGATACTATATCCTAACCCTTAATGAGTGAACCCTAGGTCCTAATTATCTAAATCATAATCTATAAACCCTAAGATGGTGCATTCCTTTTTGTGTCTATATTTGGACGAATCATAACCGTCGATTATTGTTTCTAATTAAATTGATCTTTGAGTACAAGATTGGGATAATTAAGACCTAGATTTTGATCTTTAAGGGTTAGATTATAGTATCATGTCCGAAAGATCGATCAATTCAAGGTCTAGATAGTGTTTTCATACTCAAGGTATGCGGTACCCCGGATTTTACCCAGGGTACCATAGAACTCGCTATATATATATATATATATATGCCAAAGGCTACCCAGGAGATGGAAGATGATCAGGGACTGCCTCTCATCCTTGGTAGACCTTTTCTAGCCACTAGAGATGAACTCATTGATGTCGGGAGAGGCAAGTTGACATTCCGAGTAGAGTAGGTAAGGAGGAGGAAATTTTTTTATGTCTTTCATGTTGATCATTATATTCACGAATCATTTGATGACTTTGAAAGCGTTGCTCGAGAAAGAAATAGTTTCTCTTCCAGTGATGGTGCCACCCGAAGAACTATCACATGTCCTATCATCTCAGATTCTGAAATCAAAGCAAGGACAGAATTCCTTACCAGGTCATCTCAAGTATAGATATTTGGGTATGGTTTTCAATCTTCCTGTTATTATTCCTTCTTCACTGACATTGAAACATGAAGAGTACTTGCTTGAGGCGTTGTTGCAATACCACCTATGCCTCAATAAAGGGTCTAACATGCAAGCTAAGAAGGTCATATCGAATTTTCGCACACCTGGCCCGGCCCTACGAAGGTGACTCATATGTTGGATGGAGGTTATATGTTCTATCATTGTTCGGGAGGGTATTCAGGATACCTTTCTATACCCATTGTTGAAATCTCCATGAACGTCAAGTTGAGGACGCTAAACAAGCGCTTCTTAGGAGGCAACCCAAAGCTAGTTTTCTTTTCTTTATTTTTCTTTTTAGTTGTGTCAAAATCATGCATGTTTAGATTAGGAGTTTGACATTAGCGCCAATGTTATCCATCCTGAGTGTGGGGTGGTGAGTCTTAGTGTTTCTTTTTGTTCCTTTTGTCATGTGATGTGGTTAGTTAAAAAAACTGTCAGTAGGTTGTGCACAGGAAAACTGCATGTAGTCTGAATGTGCAGGTTCAAATGCTTGTGCTAAACCTAAAGGCTAAAATACACCTAAGAAAACATTGTACTCTTGTGGTAACATGATGTAAATGATCATGGTGTATTTGAACGAGCTTGTGCATGTTTGGAATCATCAAAATCACCCCACAAATGTTGAATGTCAAAGATCTTCACAATTAGCTTGATGTTTTGACTGACTTAATGTGTTTTGAATTAGCAAACTCCTTAAGCAACATTCTCTTTTGAGAGTATAGTGTAATGCCTTTTGGTGAAGTGGTTAGGTGGAGAGCATTGACCATTCGATACGTTGGATACCTTGCTTAGTTGCATCTCTTTTGAGTTTCTGACTTTGCCAATAAGTCTCTCTGTTTTAAATGTTTTATATGGGGTAAACAGTATCTTTATAAATAAGAAAATCCTACTTGACAAGTAAAATATAAGAAAGTTGCCATAACAATGAAAGTGTGGGTAAAGTACCAACATCGTGTGAGGCAATCACTCTTTGCATAGGGGAACTAGGAAAGGTTCAATTGAGCATCGGTTTGCGATCGTACGATGTAGCTTATCAAATACAATCCCCTGCCACGTTAAGTGCCATTTAAGAATGTGCTTAGAGGGCACGGATAAAGCTTCCGACGCCCCTCTGTTGCATTGACCCTCCACACGGACCGAGGAAAATAAGTTGAAAGAAGCCCTTATGCGAGTGCAAAGAAGCAGAAATTGCTCTTGCTCGGTCACCAGTAGTAAGAAACAAAAATCACTTGTACTAAATACGATTACTCGCCAAGCAAAATCAGAAAGAGAGAAAACCTCTCATTGTCAAGAAAGGTAGTGATGTTCTTAAATTTAAAACCAAATTTGCTAAAAGCTTCCCCATGCACTTTTTAGACTTTCATGCTTAGTTGGATGCTAATGGTTGGTGTGAGTAAGTTAGATTGTCCTCACGAGATATGCACCTCACTGATGTGGCTAGATTCTCCTAATAACTATTGCACCATAAGTTGTTATTACCCAATGTTGATGATCGGAATTGAGTGTTGCTAATTGAATTGAATTGTGATAAGTCGTACCATGTTTGAGTCGATCAACAGTAAAGGGTTGCAAAGACATTGAGTATGGGGTGAAAGGTATGATCATTAAAGCACAATTCATCCAGCGAGAAAGAAACTACTGATATCACAAGCGTCCAAGGATAAATTTCTAGTGTTAATGTTGTTTTCTGTGTGTCGTGGGTCTTGTGTTTTGAGCAAGGTTGTCACTTAATGGAATGTCAATTGACAATGGAATGGTTGCAAAGCCATTACCATCCTGTATTAGAGTTTTTTTGGGTGTACTAAGCAAGAATACAAGGACATGAGAGCACAAGCAAATGACAAAGAAGGACAAGCAGACAAAAAAATGAGCCATTCTCTCCTCACTCCAATAGAGCTTCGGCAAATTTGAGTTGTAAAATAGTACTTTACATCTAAGTCTAAGAACCTATTTATAGTACAATAGAGAGGGGTACAAAAGGTATTTTTCTCCTAAAGTCGACCTAATCCTTCCTAATCTAACTTGAAGTCGGTCTTCATCCACTTCTTGACGAAGTAACTTGCAGAAGAAGCTTCCTTGTGGCCTAAAGAGAGTAGCGATATAGCAAAGATTGGGCCGCGCAGCTCCGTTTCTTCGTGGGTTGGGCTCTTTGGTCCATGGATTTCATCTCCTAACGATTTGGGCTCAACTTGTGGTAGCAGTGGTTGGACCCGTTGCTCGATTTGCCGCTCTTTCTTTCACCATAATGGACCGAGTCTTCTTCCTACACGCTTGTCTTGACATAATCTTGTAACTTGTAGTTGACTTCCTCGTCATTGGACCACTTCTTTCTCTAGAAATCTTCTTAAACTTCTCTTTACAACTCATTTGGTCCTTCGGAATTCTTAAATGTTTGATCCAATCTTTCTTAGGTTGCTTTATACCTTCATAACCATCAATAGTGTACCAATAAGGCATCAAACAATACAGAACATTGCCTAGGTCTATTTCAAACTCATTGATCAAAGTTGTGATTTAGACTAGAATATCATTAAAATGACTAAAGATGCTTCCATAGAAGTGAAAATGTATTAAGATTGTGAGTGACAAACACTATAAACAAAAGGAGAAATGATTTTATTTTATTTCATTCTAGATGGTAGTCGATAGGGATAGCGATTACCCACCCTTGGGTAATTATACCCAAACCCAAGTAGACCTAGTGATAATAAGTAGGGTATGGATGATGTATATTAATCCTTGTTATGAAAACCGGGTCGGAACGAACAACCGTCCGAGCCGCTTCGAACCGGACCTCCGTTTTTCCGGTTTTTTGCCCTTGCACCTTAAAAAATGAAAATAAAAAATGGGAACCTAATCAACTAATGCATCGGATTCGGCTGAAAAACCCTAGACTTGGAAACAAAAAACAACCAGCCGCCACAACTCTTCCCTCTTCCCGATCCTTCGTCCAACTCTAGCCTCCGTCATTTCCATTTTTCTATGTCGGTCGCTGACGGAACGCTGACTTCCCAGCCCCCTGTCCTCCTATCGACTTCCTACTCCCTCCGACTCTTGTAATCCTCTACTTCTCCGATCCCTCACCTTCATCCGGTCTCCCCCCATCGCCGAAAACTCTTCAGCAACTCCAGTGGTAGCCGATGACACTTCAGCAGCCGCAACAAGTTCCACGAAGGAGAAGCATCGGCGACGTCACTGGAGGATCCTCAACGCAGTAGCTCTTCCCCTGCTCTGCCTCTCCTGCCGCCAACTACTCCTCTGCACAGCATCCCCTAGCTCTGCCTCCCCTGCCGTCAATTTTTGGAGCGCAAGGTAAGGGAGGGATGTTCGAGACTTTGGTTTTATGTATGGACTCTTGTACAAGTGGTTTTTATTTAGGTGAACAATGTCGTTTATGTGAGATTTCAAATTTGAATTTTAGAACTTATGGTATTTATGTAAGGTTTGGATTAGAACTTAAGGAATATGCTCACGGGTTATTGTGTTTAATCAGTGTGTATCACTTATACTCTTCGTTTATTAAGTAACGGGTCAATAACGATTTTTTACCAGCTCAATACCGGTTAGACCACTAAAGTGTCGGACCCGACAACATTGCACCCAACCCAATTCATTTAATAATTATTAAAGGAACTTTTATTCGATTTCGCTGTTTCTCTCTCTTGCACAAATAAAATGGAACAAGGGCTTGCTTTCTTTTCCACTCTTCGGAAAAAAAACTGGAACTTTCAATCAGAGAACAGGAAACGAAAATGTCCCATCACGGTGGATATGGTAATTCTAGCTTCCGATTTTCTGCAAATTGGATCTTTTTCACAAATTTTGTTGCCGTTAACTCCGATTAACCGATGATTTCCTCAGGCGATAAGGGACGCCCGCCGAAGAAGTACAAGGCTGCCGCCGCCAAGGTTTGTTCGTTACTGTGACTCGGTTTCATTGGGATTTCTTATCCGGTAAGGTTTCTTTCCCTCTTTTCTTGCAGGATGACGACGACGATGGTTATTACGGCAATGAAGCTGGTGGGCGAGGGGATGATGATTATGGAGACGGTATTCAGTTTTGTGAACTCGTTTTGAAGATTCTATAGTCTGATTTTGATTTGTGCAGCTGGTGATGTATTAGTTTGTGTTTCCGTTGGTGATTATTGGGTTTTGAAGGTGAGAAAGAGGTGAAAAAGAGGGATTTCACCAAATTAGAGCTGAAGCCTGACCATATCAATCGCCCACTTTGGGCTTGTGCGGATGGTCGGATATTTCTCGAGACTTTCTCTCCATTGTACAAACAAGCATATGATTTCCTCATTGCCATTGCAGAGCCTGTTTGCAGGTTTGGTTTCCTTGATTCTATACTCCCATGTACTGAACATGGGAATCAGAGAATGGAAAAAGCTCGTGGCGTTTCTGGATTTGTTTGGTTTTTATTAATGTTGTGTGGTTTTAGGCCAGAGTCAATGCACGAGTACAATTTGACTCCACATTCATTGTATGCCGCGGTTTCTGTGGGCCTGGAGACTGAAACTATAATAGCCGTTCTAAATAAGCTGTCCAAGACTAAACTGCCCAGGAGATGATTGATTTCATACATGAATCTACTGCTAATTATGGCAAAGTGAAGCTTGTTCTTAAGAAGAATAAATACTTCATCGAGTCTCCATTTCCAGAGGTGATTTGTCTTTGGTTCGCTTCGATGGAGGTATTTGAATTTGAATTAGAATAATTGCTGATTTCCCCTATGGCATTTACAGGTCCTAAAGAAGTTGCTCAAAGATGAAGTCATAGGTCGAGCCAGGATTCAGTCTGAGGTTTAGTTACTTTGTTTGCATTGCCTTGTTGTTTCAAACATTCAGTTGTTCCTTTTTACGTTTATTTCCAAGGTTTCTGCAGACTTAATCGTCTTGTCTACTTCTCCTGTGTTGTGCTTTATTGGTATTATCCTTGACAGAATGAGCATGGACATGATGGATTCACAAAAAGCAAGACTGCAGGAGAAATTGGCGGCAGTCATGATGGGTTGTTGAATGAAGCAGAATTGGCTGCTGCTGCTGAAGATAAAGAAACTCACTCTTTCCAGATTGACCCCTCTCAGGTTGTTTAGATTAATAATTTTTCCAGTGACTATATTTTTACAAGTTGTCTCTATTGATGATTGACCGTTCATCTTTGCACCTTTGAACAGGTAGAAAATGTAAAGCAACGGTGCTTGCCTAATGCTCTGAATTATCCGATGTTGGAGGAATATGATTTCAGAAATGATCCTGTAAGTCTACATTTGGCATCCCATTCTGTCCTATCTTCACTGATAACATATATGCTTGTCTAAACATTAAGGAACTTCATGAAAGCCAGCTGAGGAAGTGATAGTATGACCATTTTGATTACTCTTGACTGTCGGTTCTGTTGAATATGGGTGTTTTATGTTGGTGAGCAGACATCAGAATTTTAGTTTGAGCTTGTGTGCCTGGCTTTAAGTTTATTAGCTGTTCTTGTCTTGTTGTAGGTAAATCCAGACATCAACATGGAATTGAAGCCCCATGCACAACCACGTCCATACCAGGAGAAGAGCTTGAGTAAAATGTTTGGAAATGGTATTTATGGCTTGAGCTTTCTATTATATATTGCAATATCATAATGTAGTGAAGTAGTCATTATATAGATGTTGATGGTTTGGGAATAACTAGGCCTGACTTTTGAAGTAACATCAGTCTAGCATTTCCTTCTAATTCCATCCCGGTTAAAGGGAAATCACTATCTACATTGTTAAATTTTATTTTTTGGTTGGAATATCAGTGGGTACTGGATTGTTATGTCAGCCACAGGTAGATGCGTAGAGTTGTCCTGCTTCCACTTTTTCTGGAAGAAAGTAGCAAGAAGGCTTGTTGGGGAGCTCTCTGGACTCTTTCGCACTCAAAATAGCAGTTCAATAATTAGTTTCATGTTTCTAGGCTATTTATTACATAGCTTAGTGTACATTGGGAACTCTGCGGTACTAGCTACCGAGACCCATAGGCCAATCTTTTTGCTCCTGTTGTGTCCCCCTGATGCCCGTTAGGTGGCGTAACTTATTGTATTGATGATCAGCAGGGTCAAACATAGAGCACCTTATTATGAGTGCTGTCTGACCTAGCACTTAGGAAACCAACAGTACCTCTGACATACTAAGTCCTATGAGCTCTGATAATGTGCAAAGGTTATTTCAAGATTTACATGAACCCCCGATAATTTGGATATGATGATTGCATTTGTAGGTAGAGCAAGATCAGGCATCATTGTGTTACCTTGTGGTGCTGGAAAGTCTCTAGTTGGTGTATCGGCTGCATCCCGGATTAGAAAAAGTTGCCTTTGTTTAGCAACAAATGCTGTCTCAGTTGATCAGTGGCACTTCCAGTTTAGGCTATGGTCAACAATCCCGGATGAGCAAATTTGTCGTTTCACTTCTGACAGTAAGGAGAGGCTCCAGGGTAATGCTGGAGTTGTTGTGACAACCTATAACATGGTTGCGTTTGGGGGTAAAAGATCAGAAGAATCTGAAAAGATTATTGAAGAAATAAGGAATAGGGAATGGGGGCTTCTTTTGATGGACGAGGTAATTATTCAGTATATTGTCTGATAGGTTTATCTTGTGAAGATCACAAAATTGTTGAAGAGGTTCTGTGACTTTTATCTGATTCAGGTCCATGTGGTTCCTGCACACATGTTCCGTAAAGTTATCAGTTTGACTAAATCTCACTGCAAACTTGGGCTTACTGGTAAGTAGTTTGATTTCAGGTATAATGTTATCCCTGTGTCAGGAATAGTTTTTTTCCGTTTAATCTTATTATTGGTTCAATTGTAGCAACACTTGTCAGAGAGGATGAAAGGATCACAGATCTGAACTTCCTCATTGGTCCTAAACTGTATGAAGCCAACTGGTTGGATCTTGTGAAAGGTGGATTTATTGCAAATGTCCAGTGTGCTGAAGTATGGTGCCCGATGACAAAGGAATTCTTTGCAGAATATCTGAGGAGGGAAAACTCAAAGAGGAAGCAGGTTCGGTTTTCAATCGCTCTCCGTGGCATATCTTCGTAATGCCTAAGAATGATTGCTGTTTCTTGTGACTTTGTAAGTTGAATTTGTTTTGATTTCAGGCGCTGTATGTGATGAACCCTAACAAGTTCAGAGCATGTGAATTTCTGATACGGTTCCATGAACAACAGCGTGGCGATAAGATAATTGTGTTTGCTGATAACCTTTTTGCTCTTGTTGAGTATGCAATGAAGCTACGTAAACCTATGATCTATGGTGCTACCAGGTGAGTTATACCGAGAGTTTCCCTTTGATCAAACGGTGCCAAGCTTGCTTTAAGTTCACATATTTTAACTATAGACCAATTGTTTGTATTTGCAGCCATGCTGAGAGAACAAAGATTCTCCAGGCCTTCAAGACTAGCAAAGATGTGAATACGATATTTTTGTCGAAGGTATTTCATCTTGTTATGTCTACCCGTATTTCTTTGGTGTTTTAACCTTTCAGGGGGCACACTGTACTCTAGCCCTAGAATGAACGATGAGGGAATTGAATCCTTGACCTTCTCAATGGAAGTGTGGATGATTAGGGTTCCGTATTATTATTTTTTACTATATCACTCAACTATTTGTTGTCGTGTACAGGTTGGTGATAATTCTATAGATATTCCTGAGGCCAATGTGATTATTCAGATCTCATCACACGCTGGTTCTAGACGGCAGGAAGCTCAACGGCTGGGTCGTATTCTTAGGGCAAAAGTAAGACACTAGTCCATTCACGCTTTCCTTTGAAAGCAAGAGTAACTTCAGCAAATTGTATTTGTTTCTTATGTACCATTTTTGTTTAATGCCGAAACTTCGTAATCCGCTCATGTACTGTAAACATTTTGCTTAGGCTTCACTTGTCTCATGCATGTCCATATGGATTGATTTTACATGACGAAGCGTGCGGTCAACAGTTGTTGACTGGATAAATTAGTGTTGACTTTTGGTTAACAGGGAAAACTTGAAGATAGGATGGCAGGAGGGAAAGAAGAGTACAATGCATTCTTTTACTCTCTTGTATCTACGGATACACAGGTACAACTTTACCTTTTACCTCTGCCTTTGATTTAAAGATATTCTAATTAGGACTGTCTCTTGGGTACAGGAGATGTATTACTCAACCAAACGGCAACAGTTCCTAATCGATCAGGGTTACAGTTTCAAGGTACTTCCCCAGTCCATAGTTTTCTGTAATTCTACCCTCGATATAGTTTATGCTTGATGTACAAGATGTGGAATCTATGGCCCAAGGCCACTCAAGACTTGCCTCTGGTTAGGATTACTATAGCAATGTGTTGAAGAGTTATTTTGTGGTGTGTATCTGAGTGAGGCATTAGATAACTTGTTAATTGGTCATTGCCGCAGTCTCAAATCTAATTTATAGCCTCATAGTGGCAATTGATGATCTGGGGCATGTGTATCTTCTAGTGTGAAGGTTTTGATGAACTGGCAATTGAACAGGTTATAACAAGCTTGCCTCCACCGGATTCAGGAGCTGAGTTGAGCTACCACAGCCAGGATGAGCAATTGGCTCTTCTGAGAAAGGTTTGCCTTTGTAGCTCTGCTGTGTTTGCGGACTTAAGGTACAACAAAATTAAGGGGGGATTTTTCTTGCTTGACATTGGCATATCTATCAGGTTTTGACTGCTAAAGATGACATGGTGGGTTTAGAGCAGCTGGAAGAAGATGCTGATGATATTGCTCTTCATAAGGCACGCAGGTTTGCAGGATCAATGAGTCACATGTCTGGTGCTAATGGAATGGTTTACATGGAGTATAGGTAAGGAAAAAAATTCCAGTTCTGTTTCGTGTGTTCCCCTCCCTTTTCTCTGCTCACCTTCCATATTTTGTTTGGTGTGCAGTACTGGACGAAAACTTCCACCAGGTTCGAAGTCCAAGCCAAAAGATCCAAACAAGCGCCATAACCTGTTCAGAAAGCGTTATGGCTGAGATGAGAAATCGAAACTTTCACTTTCAGCTCAGTTCATTTTGACAACCCAGATGAGTGAAAGTACACACCACCCTCATATTCTAGTTGTTATCTGCACTACCGCTCTCGCTGAATGTTCTTTCACAGAGTTGTAAAAGTCGAGTGATATTGAGAAAGCCTTATGAAGTGGTGTGATGAAAGAAAGTTTCTTGTCTCATTGCAGTGGGCCGAACGTCGAGAAACAATTCATATGCTGCGTCTCTGGCTGCGAGGAAATGATGTTAGAATAGCGCCCCCCACTTAAGTTGAGATACATGTATCTTTAGTAGCCAGAATAAACTGGGAATGTTGTTAATATATGTGGTTGTAAAACTGATTTCTTTCGGGTTTCTATCTTTATTAATATAATTATTATTAAGGAAATAATCGTAGGTATTTTTTCAGAAATAGCACTGTTTAAAAAAAATTATAAAAATAGCTCCCAATCTCGAAAAATTTCAAAAATAGCACCCTTTTTCAAAAACCGCTGGGAGGGGCGCGATTTTCAACCAAATTGCTTTGGTTTGAGGTGGGTTGGTTGATCGCAGAGGGGTAGGGGTGGTTTGGTTCAAAACTGTTCCCCCAGCCAGCGGTTTGGTCTTATAATTTTTTTTCTTGACTATTCCTAACCTATGTGGAAATTTCAAGCAAACGTATCATTGTGCTCGGGTATTCGATCGTGGTGACTTTTTTTATTCCGTAAAACCTTTCGAGATCTTGCAAGCCGCAAACTGCCGGTCTCTCCTTCGTCGCGAAAAATGTTGTTTGCTACCCTAAATAGGAGATTTTTTTTTATTTCGTCAAACTTTGGACAGTCATAATTTTCTGCTCCAAAATCCGAACGTCATGATTTTTTTTTTCATTTCGTATAACTTTTCAAGGACTACAATTTTTATCATAGACGTAATTTAAGAATATAGGTGAATTTGTGAAAATAAAAGAATTTGTGAAAATAAAAGGTAACGTTATTCTCAAAACCAATATCTCCAAAATAAATCATGTTTTGAAAATATTAGCTAACGAGAAAGCCCACGAGTTGTGCTCATATATGGGCTCATTATAAACAAGAAGTTGTGCTCATATACAGAAAGCCCATGATTTCAGCTTTCTGTATTTACACGTGGCAGGTAGTAAGTGGTGGGAAGTGCGTGGAGCTCCATCCTGGACCGTAATAGAACCAAACCCATTTGGCATTCGGGTATATATATATAATCCGACGACTCACGCTGCCTGTTTGAGATCGCGAAATTTCAGTCAAATATCAAGAATCGATTTCTGCTTCACGCGTCGGCTGCCATCTCTGATCTGATCGAGCCTCTCCTCCCCGCCGAAGTGAGTTTCATGATCTATTGCTTCTTGCGCTATTCTTTTATATCGTCTGGTCTCTTTAATCATAGATCTGGTGTTCTTGCATTGTCGATCCATTTGATAGGAGGGTAGGGGTTGTTGGATTGAGTTTCGCGATTTGTATGCAGTTCAGTTGGCTTGTTCTTCGAATATGATTCATGTCGGATTCAAGTTTGTAGCGAAATTAGGGCATGAATTTGGCGCGTTCTGAAGGAACCGATCTCAGATAAAAGCTGTTTTGTTCCTCGGGGATGGATCTAATATGAGCAGTGGTCTCCAAATTGATATATGATCCTTTTTCATTTTTCCTGTCAGTTGTGTAACTGCTAATCTGTTTATGGGCGTGTGGAGATTCCGGCGTCAATTGGAATTTTGATTGGATCATGTGGAACTTGACCCCGCACCTCTTATGCATAATTTGGATGGAGTATATGGCTAATTTCTGGCTTGCTATGCATAATTTGAAAAATAGATGTGAACTTAGTGGATGCATTTTCAGATTGGGGATGTCTCTTACATTATTTCATGATCGAGCATTGTGCTCATGTGAGTAGTTCTAATTGATTGAGTTGGAATGACTAATAATTCTAGGTGTGGCGTACTTGAATGGAACTAGGTGGTGCCAAAAACTGGCCTTGCCCCCTGCTGTGTGCTGTCTGATTGCTTTTGAGTGTGATGCTAAACCCTAAACTCATTTGGTCAGTTGCAGAAATGGCACTAGGTGGAACAGCTCCCCCGCGAGGAAGTGCAGCTGCTGCTGCAAGCATGCGCAGGAGAAGAACCACCGGTGGTGCTGCTGGTGGTGGCGGTGGTGGTGCTGGAGGAGGAGCCGCTGGGACCATGCTCCAGTTCTATACCGATGATGCTCCGGGCCTCAAGATATCGCCGAATGTCGTCCTGTTTATGAGCATCGGCTTCATCGCTTTCGTTGCCGTTCTTCACGTTGTGGGTAAGATATACCTTGTTCGAAGGGAGGCTTGAAAGACCCCGATATACCCCTTGTGAGTTGATGCCAGCGGAGCTAGCTAACTCTTGTGCTGTTCATTTTCTTTTTCTCGGGGATTCAGTGTAACAGCCGTAGACAGTTTTTATGCATCAATCGCGTGCCAGCGTTAGATCAAACCTTGTCTCATCTCTGCCTACTCTTTGATCAGTTGGATTTTGCTAGAGATTTGGTTTTATATATGCGCACAGGATCAGTTTTGCTGCCTTTTTTGTGGTGCTTCTTCACTTTGGACAAGTCTTGTGGTAGGTGAATGGATTTTCTAGAAGCTTAGGACAAAGAGTTGCACTCGGCAGCACAATCAGAGGATTCTATTGGGGATTTAGGGTAAATGGCAAGCTTGGTCACTAGAATAACTATATAAAAAACTACTTTCGCACTTTCGCCACTAAAATTATTTTATTCAATTCTTGATCCCATCAGCAGTTTCATCCACCTTTGTGGTACCAAGATGATTATGGAGCTTTGTCGCACAAATATAGAAGAAATACAAATCCTGCCCAATATCTATGGATGGGTAAAATTGTCATCCCTAATTGAGGCTAGAGAAAGAACGTCAAAGAACATCGCGTCTGAATTTTTTATGGTAAGATATCGAAATTATGTGCCCTCCGTAATTGAGTAAAATTGCCATACCTAGCTAGTTGAGGACCCTAATCATCAGCACGAACTCCATATTCTACAATTATGTGCCCTCCGTCGAGACACGCATTTTCATTTTACATGTTCATAGCCGTATTATTTAACTTCACGTTTGGGTACCCATTCCATCTCTTTGCTCGATCCAAATGTAAGATAACTGAGCGACTCACGATACTTTGGTAGGGGCTATGCCCGTGTTCTTATTAGTTTGAGTGGATGTGCTCTGCACCCATTTGGATGGAAAATAAAGTTCGTTAAGTTAATGATGATTGTTATGATAATTTTAAAGAGGGCACAAAGAAGTTTCTGTCTCGGGCAGGAATTTCACAATTTGATCAAAGAAGCTGAGGATTTCTCTAAGAACTAGGAAATTCACATTTAGTTTCTTAGTGCGCGCCCTCGGAAGCCCAATTAGTACCAGAGACCATACTCTCATCCATAGGCTTCAAACCCCCACAAGATCTTGCAACCGATTCAAACAGCTTCTCAATCTCCGGAGCGCATCTTATGAAAGTTCGGTTCCAGAAATTGTACCTCGGATTCTGCACATGAAAGTCGACCCCCAAATGGGGAGTTAATACTCCAGTTCAGACTGCAAGTTGACCCAAGACAAGAAGAGGATCGTGAAAGCAGTCCATGAACAAGGATTACCTTGATTAGCTCAATGAAAGTTATCAAAAGGCCCCACGGATGGGGTCTGTTAACGATCAGGCGTTCCAACAGGACTCTGGTAATCTGCTCCTGGATAATTTCCTATAATTTCACACAGAGGATTTCCATTCTTTAAGATCCAAGGGAATCGTGAAGATAGATGCAAGAAAAGACTAAGCTCGAGTAAATAATCAGGAATACCCACCTGATTTGACTCGGCAAATAAGTAGAGCAGAACAAAGGAGAAGTAATGTGTGTGGTTGTTGGGATAGCGCAGTTGGTTCGCAACAGCATTGAGGAAGAGGTATCGACCTTCATTGTCTAGCTCAACTACTAGGGTCTGGTAAATATCCAAAGCAGCATCCACTAAGAAACCAAGAGGGCCTGTATTTCAGGTGCCTGTGCATGAGGTGTTCTTGCCTGGAGCTGCTGGATGGCCTGAATACAACAATTAACTCTTAGCAAAAGCAAAAACACAGGCATTGACCCAGAACCACTAAAGAAGGAACTGCTGCAAACTTAGAAAAAGCCACCCAAGCGCCTACCTGCATCCCTGTGTAAAGGACGAGAGAATTTACGAGTGCTACATTGTAATGAGACCCGGCAGTTGAAGCCTCGCTTGGCACAAGAAGCAGCCTCTGCTTCAAGTTGGCGAGGAACAAGGAACCCTGTTGTCTTGTCTGCAATAAGCATGCACGCAACAGTTCCAACAGGATACCAGAAAACTGAAGCAAATAGCCAAAGCAGTTAAAGAACGCAGCAAATTAGGTTACCTTCAGATACTCATCCACATCAGCCTTCATGTTCTTTGCTCTAAGAGCAGCATCAACTTCAGACAAGATGTGCGGTGGTTCTCTAATTTCAGGAAGCAAATCAATCTGTTGACCAAGAAGATGCAGTTCCAATCAGCTTTGTTAATAAGAAAAAAGAATAGTGCCCAAATTGCACCACAATTTCAGCATCCATCAAACAGAACCTTTAAATTTGGAGTAGACGGATCTGGAAGCCTCATATTGCGAGGAAAAGCACTCAGAATGATATGCGCATTTGTATGCAACTTGAAGGTATGACATCACAGAAGGTGAAATGATAGTCGCACAGGAACTCAGGAAAATCGTGCAGTAGAACTAGCAGCACTCTAAGTGTACCTTTGTAGAGAAAGGAGATCTGCAGGAAATAGGACAATGAATATAGAGGGGAAGTCATTTTACACCCAAAATGGATTACGACAAAAGAAAACCAACAGAGTTCAGAATGCATACTGGTCCTCGTAATTCAGCATTTCTTAAAAAAGGCTCTAGGAACTGAAACAGGTCCACCAGCAACCGTTGAACATAGGGCCACCCCTTTTGAGCATTTCCAGTAAGTAATTTTGGCATGAAGCTCCTGTGACTTACTAACTCAAGCCACGCATAGCTGTAGATACATAAACAGCATTTATTGGCTTAACAGGCAATCACTCTAGAGAGAGAGAGAGAGAGAGAGATGCGTTTTAGAGGGGTTGTCTATGTGGAGTGATACTTCTAGGCTGAACAGAGATAAGCCCGCAGCCTTGTTTAGCATCAATACAGGTTTAGAAACTAAATTGCAGCCAGAAACTGCTCTATGAACTTGGTGTATATTAAAGTTGGGTACAAGGAGCACAACAAAACTAGAACAGGCTAGACTACCAGGGGCTGTTGGATCAACCAAGGAACAGGTTCCAGGTTCAGTTTGCCTAGGCTATACAGGTACCTCTAAATAATAATCAGCATTACTCAAGACCTATCTAAATTTCGAACAAGGGGGGAGATCAACTCCATCCTCAAGATGAAAAAAACTAAACATGTAACAGATACTTCGACAGCCCGACACAAATTGTAGAACCTGCTCGAAGGAAGTGTCATTTGTATCACTTGAGAAAGTTACTGATGTTTACCTGAAAGTAGGAATTTTAAGAGGTTGCAAAAGATGGAACGCTGAGCAAAGGAAGTCAGCATCTGCAGAGAGCCAGTGTCTCGTTAGACAATGCGGTTGACAAAAAATGATAATGAACTGAAATAGATAAAAGGAACTTTCATGCAAAGATTAACAATAAAACGAAAAGCAGATCAAAGGATAACAATGATAACAAGAAGCATAAGGATATACCTGAAAATTTCCACCATCATTTACTGGCTCAAGAGTAACAAGATCTAGCAATAAGTTTATAAACAATCTGAAATATGGCCTTGGATTAAAAGATGGTTTCTTCTCCTCGGAATCCTTCTGTATATATCTTACAGTAACAGCCAGCATCTGTAGACCATAATGTGTAAGACAAAATATTGGGTTCGGAGTGTGAAATCGGAAATAAAAAAACGGTCCACTCAGTTTACCTTTGACAGAAGAAAATGTTTACTTGATTCCCTGCTCGGCCTGACAACACTAACAATTCTTAGAAGAATACAAAAGTGGAAAAGCAACGGAAGGGTCACATAACAAGCGCTAACGGTTACCTTTAGAATTGCAAACACGAGTTTTGCAAATATATCAATGGCAAGGAACGACATATTCTGCCCCTGTTGAGGCCCTTGCATCCCACCTGAATTCACCACCTCGGAAGATAGACAATGGTCGACCGAGAGTTCCTAATAACACCAGTGAAGTATGCCTTACCATTACAATTGCTACTTACTTCTAGTGAACCACCAGTAACGAGATAGAAAATTTGACAAAGATTAATCACCATAAGAATGCGGAAAACCGGTCGGTCAAATCATCACCCTTGAGGAACCCATTCTGGTGCAATTGTAAGAGGTAATGGTTATATGTGGTCCTCATTCGAGCCTGGTAGTTCACATATCCGGTACCATTCGCGGAATAGAGCAGTAATCTACAACCAGTATCAGGATGAGAAAAACAAAAAATGGACACAACAAGAAAAGAAGCACATGCTATGAGTAAACTACCTCATTGACCAAATCAGAAACCACATGTAAATTCAATTGAACAATATCAAGCTCAACCCACCTGATCCCGGAATCCAGCAGGGTCAGGTTCTACAGACTCCACATTATTGAAGTCGTCACGGCCAATTGAAGGCTTGACTGGGAGCCTGCTAGAAACAGGCAGATATAATTTCAGATAGTCCCATTGGGAGAGAGAACATGAACCCACCAAATTAACACCGACCTTTCTCTGTCTAGTTTTATCATCTTTACCAACAGCAAAAGCTGATATAGCAGCGGCATTAGCTGTAGGATTCCTCACAATCTCAATAAGCTGTTGCAGCGATTCAGAAGATCCAGGTTTTGCAGCAATCTGCATGCCAAAATCGTTAAGAAACCACAGTGGGACCCAGACAATCTAACAAGCAGAGAAATGAATCAAACCTTGGCCAACGCTTCAACAAGATTATGGAGTTCGGAAAATGGCATTGTACTCATCGACAACCAAAGCCTGGATAAGTGAAACAGAGAATTCCGTCGCAGCCTCTGCAATTAAGTTGGAATAGTTAATAAGTAGTGAATATCAACCAAAATAAACATCAAAACACTGTGATTCTGGGACCATACTATTCCTTCCACCGTCAATAAGCTTTGCCATATGAACATTGTACTCAGCAAGATTGAGCAATTCACTGTGTATAAGACCCATAGTAATATCTTTATTGAACTTCCGCTCCTCATCCGAGTAAATGACCTGGAAAATGTATTGAAAAAATGATAATTTGTCTGCGAACTATAGTCAAAGAATGAACAAGAAAACAATGTTCTGAATAAGTTACTTGGACAAGTCAACCAAAAAGAAAATACAAAACATGCCCGAAAGAATTAAGCCAGACAATGCATACACTGGAACATAATTAAAAAGATTAGAAGGGCCAGCGTACATACCCAGCTTGTGAGTTCTTTAACCACAAGCTTGCAAACATCACGAATCGCAACCAAAATTGCAAGACAAGCACTAACATGAAAAGTATTTGAGGTGTTCTCATACAATCCCTTGAAAACCTGCACAAAAAATAAAACGTAAACAAAATCGCGGAACTTGAGAACATGCAATAACAGCCAAACACTTGAATCAATACATGGCACAACAACAGGGAAAAAGCAAACCTTTTGAGCAACAGCTAGGGCAGCCTCATCTCGACTTATGCAGCGAAGTATGATCTCGGGCACCTCAGCAATCACTCCCTGAGCATGTACAGAGGATGATAAAGGGAGAAAAGTCAGGAGCTGCCACTAAACACTACTAGATCATAATGTAGTTGTAGAAAGAAGACGATAATGTAGATTGAAGGCTTGTCTTATCATTTGGCCAAAATACTCGAGTAGAAAACAGGGAGAAACAGAAGAAACCTGTAGCTCTGCTTCTTTGCCATCACCAGTGACCAACGCCTCCAACTAAAATCATTTAAAAGTGGGATTAATGTACATAAAAATGTTATTGTACTATAACAAATTCAATGAACCAAGAAAATTATGGATCCATGCCATCATAACCATTTGTTGCCCAAGCAATGACACAGGTGACAAGAAGCTGAATCACTTAAGAGAAACAGACCTTTTGGGCAACGACTTGGTATTTATCCAGTGCATCTCTTGTACTTAGGGAAGGTTCAGTAACACTATTCCCCACACGCTCGGAAGCAGTGGATGACGAGATTGGCTGAGAGGAAGCACCAGGTTCCTTTACAAAACATGAAAAAATATTACTAACCATGCTCAAAATAAATACAGCATACAAAACAAGTACATATACAAACACTGGGTTGTTGTCTAACCTTCATACTGTCAGAAGAATCTATGAGAGGAAGTTCAGTAGCGGGACCAGCAACGGAAAATGAAGATGAAATGGCATTCTTTTCAGAATTTTGCCGCATAACAGCATCTGCTCCGATATTTATCGAGGACGAACTGAATGACATCCAGGGAATAATAATAAAAAATCAGTTATATCTCAGAATGGGTAGTACAAGACCGGCCATGCCATAAAATAAAAATACCTTGGCAAAAGTGCTGGACTTGAGTCAAGTGCCTCAGAACCCAGATCCAACGTCTGAGATGCTGCATCAAATCCCAGGCCACCAACACTCGACGAATATCCTGTGCTGAGTTGTCCCGACAAAGAGCCATAGGAACTTGTCAAACCACTGGCGGCGAAAGCAGCAGAAGTTGAACTACCAGCAGCAATAGATTGTGAACCCTGGGAAGATTGATTTTGCCAAGGAAGCCGTACAAAGTCCTGAATCAACAAGAAAAACAACAAAGAAGACAGGCTTTCATTCACTTTATCACCAGTATACACTGAAGGCCAGGGATCAGCCACTGCTAAATGTAACTACATGCAAATTACAATTAAGTGAATACCTCATAAACTCGCTGCTGAGACAAGGATAAGTGGCCAGGCTTCGGACGGAGGGCTTCAGGTAGCACACCTAAGGAAGCCTGGGTATACATGTTCGTCTCAAATAATGTTTGGCCAACACTGTCTCTATGTTTCCTTCTCAACTGTAGTTGATGGGCTATTTCACCATTAATAGTTTGTATGGCCTTCAGCATATGAGAGAAAGATAAGCATCAGAATTTGGCAGTCAATAGAACTGCATTATCACGACAAGCTCAGTCCCACCAAAAATACACAAAAACCACCTGGCTAGATTAATCACTACAACACAAGAAAGTCATTGGCAGAACAAACTCATCCAAATACATGTATCCAACATGATAACCAGCTGATATTGATAAATGATTTTCAATTGCTCAATGTCCAGCGGATTACCCGCAAATGTGTGACGAGAAATGGATCACCAACATAACTCCAACAGAAGGGAATGAAAGGGAAGAGGAACAATTAAATCTTAAAAGCGGAACCTTCTCTGTAGCAGCTTGTTCAATCAGGGCACAGCCCAAATCAAGGTTATCATTGGTAGCAAGCAGCACGGCATGTTCAAGGAGCTCATTTGTGATGCTCAAACCATGAAGTGAACTCCTCAGTTGGTTTGATATCGAAGTACGTAGAGGTTCCTGAAAGAAAAATTAGCATAGCTGATGATCAATTCTCAGAAGTTGAAAGTACTGGACATTGACTAAACTAACAATTGAGTAATATATTTAGACTATGTGAGGGCAAAACCTTGCAAGTGACATGAGCTAGGCTTCCAGCCAGGCTAGCAACCATCAGATGCGCCGCATGGTATATTCGTGTCTCATCCGTTTCCATGGCATAGTCCTGTTAACCAGCCAATCATTTATATTGAAAGAAAATGGCATTAAACAAGCTACAACCACAACCTAGGAGCATCTTGCAGTAGTAAAAGGACCAAGGCTGCATGTTTCTAAAAGATGATAGATGCAGGACGAAAGAAAAAAGACATGACAGCATGTTACAGAAAGAACACAATGGGCATGTTCATGTGGTAACCTTTAATACAAGCTCCTTCGTCGTCTGAGTAGCAATAGAAACACTACGCTGAACAATACTGGCTACAATGTCCTTGACGGCTCTTTCAATTGCATGTGGAACCACTCTAAACATGTGAATGAGATTAAATTAGTATATAATGCATTAACCTTTAAACACCAAGTATGGAAATCATAACATGAACCCCACCTTTGAAAATGCAAATGTAGACTCCAGCCCTGAAGCTTCTGGTTAATGATAACATGTGGAGCAATGTTGGCCATCGACACAGCAGAAAGCTGCAAATAGTAAAATATATTGTTAAACACTAAAACTAATTATCATTTTCATCGAAAAGAGCTGCAGAAAGCACAACTGGTACCTGATTAACAGCATAAAGAGACTGTGCAGGAGTAGCTTGGAACAGTGCTTGTCCAGAAGGAAGCTGGTCAGACAAACTCAACACAGCTAATTTCTCATCCTCCATCATTGTGCCAGAAGAAAGGAGGACCGGAGCTGGAAACTAGGAGCACCAAAATCAAGTAGTTCAGGCTAAAGGGAGCATATCTCCTAGAAACAAAAGAATAATATTAAACAGCCAAATGAACAAACCTGAGGGAGCATTGTAGAACTAGGAGGACTAGCAACCTCAAGAGGTAGCTCCCCAGGGTTCAATGGAGACATCATTCCAGATTTGACTTCCGGGACAATTTGCGATTGAGACGGTCCAACATCTTTATTAGAAAAATCAGGGTTACCTTCAATCTCCCTTTTCCTATCTTTCAGAAGTGAAGTAGGAGTTATGTCCTTCATGTCTACACTAAGGTTCTTAAATAGGACCTAGAATGTTAGTAAAGAGTTAGTAATTTACAACTAAGTATAACCTAAGGCACAAAAAACATTTAAGTTCGCAATGTATTTCACCTCTATGTCAAACTTGAGATTCATTTTCAAATTTGGCATTGAGTAAATCTCAGCAAGCAAGCCCAGGATTCCCATTGTCCAAGGGTTGGGGGGCTGATATGCCAGACTGCTTTGACATGGTTCAAGAACCTAGATCAATGGAAATAAAAAAGATATGAAAGTCGGAATCGCAGCAATCAAGAGCATCTACTAGTGTTGCTAGATGATTGTACCTTTGATGTGAATGGAATAACAGCAATCATTAAGCCTTTCTCATATGCCTGGCAAAGAAAGGAAAACAGACATACATGATCCCCGAAGGTCATCGTTTTCAAACGTACTTAAAAGACAAATCAAAGTAGGCATGCAGCATGTAGCACATTTATACAATCAGCTACCTCTATGATTAGAGATTTTGGATCTATCTCACGGGCCCTTAAGACCTGGTTCCTGCCAATTGTCAATTTCCCAAGCCAACTTCCCAAGTTCTTTAGCAATGAACGCTCCTCTGAACTCGATTTTATAAGCTCTGATCCTAACAGAACCTGAAATTGCAAGCAGTTGACACAAATTATTGACATGACTCGATGAGAAGTCAATGCCCCATGTTTTACGAAGCTTAAAATCGGACTAACCTTGCAATTTTCATATGTGGCCTGAACAATGTCCCTATTCAGAGCCTTTAGATTAATTTTGTCAAGAAACTTCAAGTACAAGTCATGGAAATTCGGCTCAATGCTAGCTCTGTTCAGATATAAACAGAAATAGAGTAAGGAAAACCAATGGGAAAACTATGCTGAACAGCAAATCATGAGAATGGAAACATGATGTATATAGTACAATCTGAGATCCCAACCTTTTCATGACCATATACTGAGCAAACCAGGGATAATATTGTTCCGTCAGTACTTCACTGAATTCTCTACCTTTTACCTCAATATTGGCAGTAGAAATATTGTTAATAATGAATGATATTTTATCTTGAATTTCAGAAGCAGGAGCCTGCAAGCACAAAGCACCAGGTCAGTACCAGAATCACAAGAACATAGTGCTGGCAATAATACCTTCACCAAAGCAAACAAATCATACCCAGGTGACCATTCTAATTATCAGCTAATGACTATTCGTAACCAGATATGGAAGATCTTAAATGCTTTAAAGAATGTTAACCCAACTCAGACAAGACACAAGTTACAACTACACCGTACAGTCACGTGAAAACTCAGATTTAACAGGCCAGAAAACAATCAATTTTTCAAATTTGAAGTCATCCACAAGATCAATTGGGATTGAGACATCCTGAAACCTCCAGTAACTTAGTTAATAGACTAGGTCACCTTGCCAATAGATTCAAAATCGTAAGAATTGTTACATATCCAGACTGACAATATAGATGAGCACCATGCATCACATTCTCCCGATTCCCAAACGCACCCTTCACAATGTTGCAGATAAACTGAATATTGTACCTCTATTGGTGTTTCTCTTCTCTCAGCAGCTGCTACTAGTGTTTCAATGTTCAGTGCTGAGCCGAACCCTGCATTGTTGAATAGCTGTAAGAAACAGTGGTGCAGGAATATATGCTGAAAAAACCAGATTTAAATGATAACAAAAAGAAAAATGATAATGATAAGAAAGATACTGGTAGAGGTGACACTACGAGAAGGACGCAGGAAACCAGGTGAAGAGGCCGGCATAGCCTGGGTGCTAGAAACACTCTGCAAACAAACTCCATTTATAAAACAGAACGAAAAACTTTCGAAACAACAGTATCCCAAGTACCAAATGCAAAGCATACTCTCTGAGCTGCAGACAAGTCGGCTAGGGAGCCAACAGAAGGTTGTCCTCCAGTGGATAATAGCGGCTTCGAGTCATTAGATGAGGCTACAGGTAATTTGTGGCGGTCATCGAGGCGACCTTCAAGCCTCTGGTGAATGTTTGTAGAAGAGGAGGATTGTGGTGAAGCTGCTGTGGCATTAACGGCATTTAACTGCAAATATAGATAAAAGCAAAAGACCTGATGTCAGGTATCACTCAAGTGACCCGGAGAATGATGAGGTTTTCATGCTGCTCTCTAAACAAAGCTGATTAAATTATTAGGTTTTCAAGTGAACCTTGGAACTAACTAATCAAGGCAGCTCAAGGAGTTATACAACAAGCTTATCACAGCAAACACGAGTGTATTTGCATGAAATGCATGTGGGAAGAGCTGAATTATTCTTGATGAACCATGGGCATCCCCCCCACAGAAATCAAATTACTATTACTTCAGTTTTGGGATTCAATCATTCAGACCTTCAAAATCAAGAAGAGGACTAATGAATCTATCACAAATAGGGGAGCCATCATGGAAATCATTACCAGCACTTATCCGAAGATGCTTTTTACCCCAGAATATATAGCATAGAAAGGAAAACGAAAAAACTCCTTACCTCACCAGGTGTAGCTTGCGGTAAAACATGTTGATGAGTAGCAGAAGTATTACTACTTTCTGATTCCAAATTCCCAGATGAAATTCTGGCTAGAGCTCGTTCAATGAAAGCAACAAGTTCTGAATGGGCTCCACGAAGATGAGATATTTGCAAGATATGATTGCAATACTGCGGCCACTCAATCAAACGATCCACGAACTGTTCCAGTGCATTGGTGCCAAACACAAACATCTACAGGTAGCACTTCTCTGAGACAGACTACACAACGAGGTATCAAAGGAAATTCAGTCAGCAAGAATAATACATACTTTAGAATCTGGAGGTTTCCGCAGGGCATCTAGGACACCACGTAAGGCAATCCCGAGAGTCAAATGAGTAACAAGTTGGTGCTTGATAACCGAACCTGAAATGGAAAAGCGAACGGAGATCAGAATTCTACCACAAGTCCAGAACCACAACCAGAAAGATGGAACAGTATTCCCAATCGCAAGTATTACAAAAGATGCAGGAACTCTCAAGGATAAAGTGAGATCAGATAATCAAAATAATTGAGGAAGTCCAGAAGTTATCAAGAGACCAAGCAGGCACAAACATAAGCAACAAACTGAAGCGACAATGCCAAAAGTACCAGAAAACAGAGCAAAAGAGCAACAGTAATTGCCTAAACACTTTCCAATAAGAAAAAACTATAAAAGAGTAAAATATAGAAGATGACCATCTACACAAATATTAAGTGACTCACCAAATAGAACAGCCGCAATTCTAAGCTGCCTTTCAGGATACTTGGGGAAGAACCTGTATTCCTCAAATAGATTGCCAATCATGCACTCAAAAATTGACTGTTCCCTGTTGATGATTGTTGCATTACAATTACAGATTACAATACCCATAACAATAAGTCTATGAAATTGCCAAAAGGCTGCAACAAACATAAACAACCTTGCAACAAAAAAGATTTTGAACATCCCCCGCCAGCTACACACACAAAAAACTCAGAATAGCCTTTGTACATTCACTCCTAGGCAACAGACGTTACCATTATCCAATGAAACCACCGTTTGGAAAAATGTCATCCTCCTGTCTACAGTGACTCAAACCTACTGTACTAATTCATCTTTTAAATTTTAATTCAATTTGAGAAGATTATGAATTCGACCAAAGATTTATTTAAAGCCATTTGTCTTACTCCAACAAGGCCAATTCAGGAGTGAAATGGGATTCAGAAGTGGTATAGAAGTCCCCATACTGACATTTAACAGAATGACAAAAGAACAATACCTCGCCAGAGAAGATTCCTTGAATCTGGCAAGCATTTGAACCATTGCATCAATTGTCAACTCGCCAGAGAACATTTGATGGAAATAAGAGTTTGCCTCTGCCTCAACATCCTCTGAATATCCATCAGGGGCAGATGACTCAGCAGAGCCACCATTCTGCAGCCTAGGATTTGAATCCACAATTGTTGCCTCCAACTTTTCCACTTCCTCAGGAAGTTTGATATTGAGAATCAAGGGACTGTGAGCCTTAAGAGCCTACAATATCATATCTCAATTAAGGAAAATTCATCATACGGCAACAAATTCAAGAGGAAACTTGTAGATTTGAACCTTCAATATGGTGGAGATAGTATTGAAATCAAAATTCCCAGCAGCATTCCCATGATGAAAAGGTTTTCTAGAAAAATCTTGGGAAGCGCCAAGCTGAGATTCCTTTAGAAACTTGAGGCACTCCTGAGTTACACCATAGAGTATATATTAGAACCAAAAATTTATCTATAGAACTGAGCATTGACCCACTGTGGCAACTGTAACAGCAACTAAATAAATTACCTCAAAAAATGAATCCTTGAATGTAACTAAATTACTAGTCAGCCAGTTCTCAAGGTCCAAAAACTCCTTTCGTGAAGCTAGGGCAGCCAGTCTTATGCCTACGCGGAAAGGAATCAACTCCAACAATGATGACAGGATCTATAATTGGAAGAAGAAAGAAAATGTGGGCATCAGTACAGGATCTACAAAAGGTAGAACCAAATAATAGAAGCATATGAATTAGTTAATAATATCTACAAAACAACTTCATGTCAAGTTGCATCCCTTTCAACATTTTCAAGAGAAACAAGTGATAGCATCATCAGTACAAGATTTTACATGTGACTGCTAGTCAGAAATGAAGTCTAGAATCCAAATATACTCTAGGATTGAAGATGTAAAGTAAACAGTTACCTTAAGTTCCTGGGACAGATCTACAAGTTTGCCCATGATCTCTGGATCATCATTTTGAACATCCACAAATCCCCTAACAACAAGGCCAGGATTTACATGCCATAGGTACAGGATCATGCCAGCACAGCTGGAGCTTTTGACGATCACAGGGAATACGGTAAA